ATATTATATCAGAGGTACTCTGTGTGTTCACCCAACTACAGTCGCGCTGCAAGCCACCTGCAGGGAAATCAAGGTGCACCGAGATTACTTTTATGCAGCTTTGCAAGTATCAGTAATGACAAACGTATCCATTAAAATTAAAGTCCAAGACTGTGTTAATGGCGAGCAAAGTGTGCAGAAGGAAAGACGCAAACTCTCAGGCGCTGTCACACCATCGGTCTCGAGTGACACGCCAGGTACCCGGCCTTTAAATTACAAGTCTTCCCTTTTTAATTGAAGAACAATGGCCCCACCTTCTGGCAGTACAGCAAAGACTCCAGTTGCAAACAATCCTGAGTTAATGAGCATGCATTAACCAAGCTGCATGGGGGGTTGAATACCAGCAATTCATTGCCTGCATCAAGAACAACTGAGGCTTGATATCCTCATCCGGTTAATAAGACTTTCCCACTTTTTGGCATCTCTTAATAAATGGAAAAACGAGTCAAGACAGAAATTTTTTGTTTTGCAAAAGAGCAGTGGCTGTGATCTAGCCCGGGGCCTTCCTGGCAGAGACCAGCCCACAGATTAAACTACTTGGCAATCAATATATTCTCACAGAGTTCTCTAAGATAGCATCACATTCAGCCCTGCTAGAACACTGAATTGTCTCTCGTCTCAGTGGAATTACAGACACCTTTGTTGTTGGACATTGCTGCTTTTGATGGATCATTGAAAGGCTTGATTGTACATGTTCAGCCCATCTGTGTATTGGTAGCTGTGGCTTTATGTGCAACTCTGCTGTCTAATTCCTGAAGTGACAGTACAGGCACCACAAAGTTATCTAGAAGTTGCATTACTGCAGCTGTCTGATGAAAGACATCACCTCCATGTTGCATTGCATGAGAAAATGTTATTTCGGATGCACGAAGTCATAGAATGTGTGTAGAGTAAAAAGAGAAACTTCTTCTAGACTGAAAAAATAAGACATACAGTACAACACCCATCAAATACCCTGAGAATAGTTTCTACCAATGTTCCTGATGCAATTAAATAAATTGTCTTTATATCTTTGTATATGCTGCAATAACATGAATGGTTCTTCAAGATTATCCTCTTTTAAAGAACCTCAATAACAATTATATAGACAAGAAGAATAAAGATGCAGGAATACACCAGAGACAGGGATCAGTCATTTACAAAACCAAAAGAAGAGTAGCAAGTGAGGGGAGGCTGTTTATCCTGTTGGGATCACCACTAGCTGCCTTCTTACTGGCCCAAACATCTCACCTCCCTGTTCTTGTAACGAGCACGAGAAATACAGTACCAGCGACAGGGTCAGGCAGTCTGGTCACCTCACCTTTCCAGAGAAAAGGATTTGATCCAATAAAGCTCAAGGCTTGAGGCTTCCCACGGGAGCATTTAATGGAATCCTGGACAAGATACTGTACAGAAAATAGTGTCTGTAGCAAGTTATTTTTTTAAATATCCAGCAGAGGGAGGTCTTGTGTGACAAAGGTTATTTACAGATAAAGAAGGTAACAGGAATGAATTGATTAATGTCAAGGACTCTCTACCTCGGAACTGAAGTGTACTTACAATGAAGTTTCTTTGAGCACTTTAATTTGTGCACTTTTTTTTACCAGATGCTTTCAGATTGTAAAAGACCGAACACTTGATTTGGTTTGGTTTGGTTTATTCCAGGATACCCTGAACCTAAAAGAAGAAAATAAACAAAGACATAATTTAAAACCAAATCAAGACCCCTGCCCCTTGTGAGTCCTTTTATATCATAAACTAGTCTCAATTAATCCCATGTGAAAATGTGCATCTTGCCTCTTCACTAAGTATCTAATTAATCAATTAATAAACCACATATGTGAACCTGTATACCAGCAATACAGACCTTTACGCCATCTAGTGGCAGGTCCGCTGAAATTACTGTCCTAATTACTGCTGATCTGCCACAATGAATACCTAGATACCTAGCGTGAACCAATGAGCTTGTAGAGGGTACTTACAAAAAAGACAACAAAAAAGTGCTCATGTTGACATATCATTTCTATTTAATACAAGGTGGGGGAAATAATAAAAAGTAATCTAGTTAAAAGTGTAGAATTTAAATCAAGGGATCTTATGCCATAATTACACAGTGCACTAGTAAGACCTCATTCAAAATACTGTGAAAAAGTGTGGTCAACACATATTATGGGAAGGATATCACTGCTCTGAAATCTGTCCACAGGACAGCAACCAGATAAACCCGGGTTTTAGAAGAATATCCTACACTGACAGGCTAAAATAAAATGAGCATCAGAGCAGATGACAAGAAGATCCAGTTATTCAACGTCAACTCTGTGGGCTTCTTCAGAATCAGCAGTGGAATATGGACAAGTGGACTTGAGTGGAAACGATATGGACGTACATTTAAAACTGAGATCAGGGCAAGCTGAGATCCTTGGATTCATCATCTACTAAGATCCATACAGCTATATGTCATTAAGTGGTTTTTCAAGAGCTTCAGATCTTGGAAACAGGAGTTTGAACAGTCTGTGAAATCAGTCCAGTTGACTTTGTTGACTTGTATTTTAGTCACAGAGAGATGAAGTTTGAAATGTTTCCAAATTGGTCAAAAAAGGGTAGATGACTAGTTTCCCATGCTCTTGTTTCCCATATATGTATACTGTATGAAGAATGAATGCTTGAAGAACTATTATTTTTGAAGAATAAATGTTTTCTTCAGTTAACAACCATCTTCACCTCAAGGAGCCAGACAGTATGCCTCAGTGAGTGTTGAGATTTCACCAGAAAACTGAACGTCCTGAAAATGCACAGAAAGATTGTCTGTTGAACCTGTGGTTTAAAAACCAGTCCTTCGGGACTATGGTTCCTAGCTCTCTAGTTCAGATAGTTCAAGGCACACATTTAGAGTCTGAGATAATGGAATGTCCTTTTTCTTTGCAGGTTTGAGGCTCTCCGGGACCAGGGTTGGAGATACCTGTTATATTCTGATTTGGGCATGAAGGCATGGAGGTCCGTGCTGCTTCCTCACAGCCGTGCTACCCTCTGTGTGGAGTTTGCATGTTCTCTCAGTGTTCACATGGCTTTCCCCAGGTGCTCTAGCTTCCTCCCCCCTGCCAGACACATGCTGGCCAGGCTGGCCGGTGTCTCCTAGTCGTCCCTGCATGCTCTGTGCAGGGTGTAGCTCCACCTCCTAGCTTGTCCAGTGCCGCATACAGTTCATAATTAGACAGATTGGATTGGTTAAATCTTTGCAGATACTTTCCCAGACTCTTTATAAAGCTTATACATAAAACTTAAAAAAGACTAATAACACAAGAAAGAAAAATGCGTACCGATCAAAATTCTGATGGTCTAGTAGTAATCTCACTATTTTGTTTTTGTGTAATCGCTAGCGATACCGTGGTTTAATATACATGTTTTGTTTTATTCATAACTTCTTTTAAGACGCCGGCTTATACATTTTGCCGTTATCTGAGGCTTAGGTTGATAATACAAACAATCAAGCACAACAACAACAACAACAACAAAAGGGCGCTGCTCAGAAAAGAGATGAAATGACGAAAATAGAACAGCACCGGCTTTCAGTCGCGTCCCATGACGCTTTTAGAATCGCTGTTAATGACACCTGCTTCGGAACCTTGGGGCAAACTTATTATTCTTATAGGGTCATACATTAATGCATACATCTCATTTGCATACATGTTCCCTCTAACAGGCCTCCCGAATGTTGATTGATTCTTTCTTCAGAGTGGCACCAGTGACTTTCTTTTAATGGAATAATAATCTAATATGTATTAGGAAGACAATTCTGTACTTTGATAGTGTTATCATCATCATCATCAACATCATAATCATCAACAACACGGTCATCAGTACTTATCCCATAATTTTAACTACAAATATGCCGTGTGTACGTCTCCGCGTAAAGACACTAACCTTACAAATGACCGTGGAAATATTTGCCGTTGGGATCGAAGTGTGTTTGGTCTGTTAATATTTGGAAGGCTACTCGAATGATTGCATTCAAAACGTTTATATATTTTAATAATCGTATCGGCTTGGTTCGCCTTCGTAAGGGATAGCCGACCTGACGAAAATACCTGGCTGAACGTGTTCTGAGGCCTTTGATTTCAACAAGGTGTAGTTAATAGCAGGCTTCTATTTATTTTTTTAGAAACACTACAAAATTAAATAAGCTTACAGTTTAATATTCTCTTCGGATAAATATAATTAACACAACCAAATCTTTAAACAATTCCAACAAAACGCAACACAATCCGTCGTAAAATGTACGGTACGGCAATTGTGCTATTCTGCAGGTGCAAAAGACTACCCAAATTCTGTGGATATTTTTCGTTTTCTCATGAATATATCGTTTATTGATCAATAGTTATTAAGCATCTCACATAGTACGATAAATTACTTTGTAAAGTATTATAAAGGTATCATTTTGGAAAGAATTCACGAAAAATGATGATAACGCTGAACATTGCCCCGGGCTAAATTCTAGTAAAATGTGAATCTTACGAAAGTAAATTTCGTCTAGTTAAACTAACTTATTCTCTTTCCTGAAACAAATAACCCAATAGACACATTTCCAGTAGCCTATCTGACGAAGCTGTACTTGTCTTGGGTACGTTTCGGTTGACTCTAAGGTTTGTTGTAAATTGATCTAATACATAGATCACAGATTTTACTTGTGTTTCAAAATCTTGGGCTTACACAGTCTACATTCTTGATGCACAACTGGAATGTACAAATATTAGATTATGTGAAACCTATTCGTCTGCACTGTATATTTCAAAATATATATCTCTCAGCCTTTCCCCTCTGTTAAGTAAAACCCGCTCAGTGATCACCACGCAAAATTAGCAGAACAGCTGGTGTGCGGTTAACGTGTCACCAGCGTTCCTACCTGCGCTTGAAACTGGTCAAGAATACCCAATATTTGGTCTATGTTGCATGCAAATCTCTGGGCTGACCTACTTCTCCGTCTCCTCTTCACTTCAGACACTCAGCTAAAATCCATAAATTAAGGAAATTAACTGATGGGGCCCGGGGCAACTTTGTAAGCTATTTAAATCTTTAAATTTACAACATCTTCTGCATACTTCGTGTAATTGAACTAACTGCGGGGTTGTTACTTTAATGAGAATTTTTTTCCTGTCTTCCTTGTAGTTTGTACTCCAGAAGACACAACAAAATTTCGCCCCGAGGGGAAAAGGTTCCTTGCTCTATGCCAAGGAGTGGAGGGATGAGGGGATCCGGGAGTGCGCAGTTGTCTCGGGTGTATCTGGGATCGGAGGGTCGCTTTTTCCCCAATTTCCCACGTCTTGCCCTGTCCGGAAGAGTAAGAGGAAGGCGAATGCGAAGCGGGTGAAAGATGGTATCTGCCCGATGTGTTTCTTACTGCCCGTCTTTATCGGGAGAAAGGCGACTCTCGCACAGGGCGAAAGATCGATTTCAAAGCGCACTTCAAATTAATCCATCGCTACCTTCAGCTCTTAACCTTGATCTTCCTCTTTCTAGTGTGGCCGTGCGTCCTTTCGGACACTAGTAGGCGCCAGACATCAAGAAACAAACACCGAGAGCGGGAATGCAAGGGAAGGATTTGGGAATACTGTAATTATAAGGCTCAATGCAACATTCATTATTTAGAACTATTTACACGCAAATAAACAAACAGACAAATAAATAAATAAACAGCTAGCCTATGTAAGCACCTGTAAAGTGGAGAAGGGAGGGGGGGAACGATGAGATTTTTGTACAGTTCAGTGTTGTAGACAGCGCGTTAATAAATGTTCTCGTGTATTAAAAGGTTGATCTATTAGTGTTTCGTATTTAAACGCATTAGTGCATCGTTTGTGTGTGTGTCTGTGTGTTTCAATTTTACTTCAACAGAATGAATCTCAGGGTAGAAAATCTGGTTGCTCTTTGAGCTAGCAGCCTGCCTTTCTGCTCGCTTGTATAGGAAGTCTTCACGGCAGACATCTCCATCTAGCCGTGTGCTATAATTGAAATGGCGCGTTTCGCTGGAGGCAGGTTGTGAGGGCGCTTTTTGTAATAGCAGAATGCATGTCGATAGACGTCATTTGGTTTTAATGGCCTACAGGAAATTTGGCGTTACAATACGAGACATTAGCAAGCGAGAAAGGAAAGAAAAAACAGCCGCATGGAAACTGTTTATAGAGATCTGCATATTCAACATCAGCATTTCTTATATAGATACTTTATCAACAAGTTACACAGCGCTTCCATAATCGCTCTATAAGTGCAAGAGATGAGAGAAACGTGCCCTGCGTTACTTATTTGGGAACTGAAAATTTATGCCTAGTTGAAAATGCCTGGGGAAATATTACATCAGACGAAATGACAATGATTAAAATCTGCTTTTTTCTTCAGTAAGTCTATCGAGCGACGTGACAGTGGCCTGATACTTAACATTAAACCGTTATCCCCCAGCAAACCAGAACTTAAAAACCGTTATAAGGATTTATTTATTTATATTTTGGGGGAAAAGGAGGAAAAATACCAAATGACTCGGTCTAATCTTCACCGGCATCTTGGGGAAAGGAGGAAAAATATCAAATTTTCATCTTGAATTTAGCTAGGGCGCGAGTAGGGTTGAGCTAATTGTAGCCTAATCCTTGCCCCAGAGGCGTTTGGAAAGCCTAGAGCAAGAATTCTTTTTAGCTCTCCTCTGTTATTTAGAGACGGATTATATTGGCTTTCTTCTTCTCATAACAGCCCGGCAGTTTCATTTTAGCAAAAAGAAGGACAAGAAGCTAAAAAAATCGCAGCTGGGGCCAGCCGTCTGATATTAAAAGTCTAGAAATAAGAGCGGAAAAAAGGGAAGAAGAGATTTCGTCTATGTTCAAGGTAAGGACGCTGCTTGCTTCCTGTGTTGCTGTTTTCAAAGTGCCTGATCTCAACTAGTCTAGTCGACACTATAGATCTTTAAAGCTACAGTGACCCTTTTTATAACAATGCATCAGAGCTACTTTCCTTGGTTTTTGGAGGTTTTTGGGGGCTTGTCTCTGCGAAAGAATGGGCATGAAACTCGAGGAATGCTGAAGTACTTAGTTTTATGAAACTTGGAGGAAATGTTACGGAAAGAGATAATACAGTTCTCCTGGTGGACGGATGAAATCTGGCTCGGAATTGCTTCGGACTTTCCTAAAACGTTTGAAACGGTACACACGGCTGAATAATGCACGTATAGAAAGCTCGGCTCCCTGTTTCACGGGGTGATCTGTTTTTAATTTATGAATCAAGGAGATGCATGTAGCTCACTCCCTGTCTGTATGCAATGTTAGCCAGGCGCCAGTGAGAATGAATTTTCGAACAGGCTGCTGAGGATCCTGGCTGGTAAATATCGTGTTGTGCATCCCGAACGAAACACCATGCCGAATCACCGACACGTCTGAATTTAAAGTAATATATATGGAATATGAAAACAGTATAATGTATATTTTCAAAAACGTTCCGTCGTATCAAAAACATCTTTTCTGATATGTTGGTATGTGAAAAAGACGCCATATTGTGAAATTGGCAGTATTCCCCCCTTGGGCACAAATGTATGTTCAGGGGTAATAAAATTGTGGAAGCCGTGTTTCGCTATTGTTTTAATTTTTGGTGGGCGAACATAAACTTTTACGTGTAATGTACGTTTTCCTCAAAGGTACGCAGCAGCACAGCTGGTCGAAAATAAAACTTCGATAAGCAGAAGCTCTTAATAATAAAGTCGATTTCTTTTCTGTTCTTATTATTTTAATACAACCTCCGCGTCGTAGAACCGCTCACGCAACGTGTGGTGTTTCTGTTCAAAAGTTAAGATCGATCAACACAAGCGGTTGTGTTGCAAAATCAAACTTTTAGGTGGCGTTTTTTTTTTTAAATCACGTTTCCTGAGCAGCCTACAGTCCTTAACGTGTTGCCTACAAAATTGACTTCGGCGGCCTCTCGTGTCAGTCATAAAAAGGCGATCATTTCTTTCATTACCGGTTACAGAGTGTCTGATGGTAAATAACCCGAGAATACTTCAAGCATTTAGTCAATGAGAAACCGATAATACAGACCGTCAGGGAACAGATGTTAGTGCTGATCTCATTAAAGACGAGTCAATGGTCCTTTTCGAGTTCGGATGTTTATTTTTGTCTGGGGACTCCTGAGAACACTTTAGACCGAGCGTGGAGATAAATAAATAATGTGTGTTCCAAAAGTGTGAGCAGGACTCTGCTTTATTTTCTCCGGTACACTCATTCGTGATTTATAGTTTACATCTAGGGCTGTTTAATAGCCTTATTTAGCCCCATTCATTTTTGAATTTTTCATCTTTTTTTTTATCCATTTCGACCCCTCTGGCTGTCTTGCTCTATTTTCACCTAACCCTTCACCTCCTCAGCCCCTCCCTCCCTCCTCTCTCCGTCTTTCCTGTTTTTTTTTCTCTCTCTCTCAGTTGGTGTGTGTGTGTATATATACTTTTGTATCAGGCTTATTCCCCCAACATTAATATCAGTATTGGTTACCATGGCCCGTGGCTATATGAAGAGGTGGGATAGCTTCATACGCCCAAAAGTTCTTAAGTCTTTTGAAGTCTTTCTTTCACTGGGATGTGAAATGTATCATCCAGAGTGTGTATTAAATGAACAGTATTCCTGTAGGCTTCGTGTGTTGCGAGGCAGGCAACACCCTGGAAAATTCTGTAGTCTTTCTGCATTCTCTGCCCCGGGCATCTTGCCGTGGGCAAAAGCGCTGAATGGAGCGCTAACAACAGCCTTCTGTTTACCTTTTATGGTTAAAATAACAGCCTAGCAAATGAGCGGCTTCACGGAGGAACGATTCGGTGAAATCACTCTCAAGCTGCGGTAACATAGCTCGTTTAATCACCTCTCCAAAACTGAACAACTGCGAGCACAATAGGGAAGAAAATGATTTTGTGCGCAAATGAGCGTCGCATCCCGAGACGTTAATTTCAGCGCAACATGGGTAATAGTTCTGACAACACTCTCGATATGCGCAATTAGCGCGTTAAGACCGTGGCCATCTGATTCGGGGAACCCCCCACAAAAAAATAAAATAAAGCGTGTATTAAAGGTAAAGTATTACCCGAAACGACCTATCCACACGTGGAGGGGGCGAGGGCTGCGCAAAGTTCTGACTGACGTGAGGAAAAAAGACGATACTGGGGGGTAACGCGTTCTTCAACGCGATGTATTAAAAACAAAACATCAGTAGAAAAGTTTCCGTGTGGACGTGAAACATGTTATCAACGCGTTAAAAGGGGCGCTAAGAAAAGAGCCATTTTGATCGCCCTTCCCCGTGTAGTCAGTGAAGCAGCTGGTGACTCCTCATCTGGGGTGAAGTCCCGTGTGTGATGGTGTCAGGCTCCAAGAAGCGCACAGGGGGTGTTGCGACTGGCGCTCGGTTCACGCACCGGGTCAGACTGACAGACGTTAGAGGTGACGGATATTTACACGACATTGTCAAGCCGCCCAGCGCATCTTCGATATAAAAGTGGGGACGACTATATCCGTATTCTGTGATATTTCGTTATTCGTTTATAACTCGCGGGGCAAAAAGTGATTCAAGTTTTGCCCAGAGTCGATGAAAGGTTATCGACCTGCGCTGCGGCTTTTCTCGTCCTGCTGCATCTTTCAACCTGCTTTCCGAGCCGAGCTGTGCAGGACAGGCTGACGCGAACCTCGTACCTCGCTTTCCTTAAACTCTCGTTTCAATTAACCCCCACCAGTCGCAGTTCATTTCTTATGTAGCACAGCAAACGTTTTCCTTTGCAGAAGAACTGAACTACAGGCGTTAAACGTATGTTTGACTTACTAGCAAACCACAAGCCAGTGTGCTGAGAATGAGATATAGGCTAATTAAAATGGCATTTTGACAGTGTGGCCATATCTGAAACAGCGTAGACTTTGGTTCATCAATGCAATAGGGAGCACGTGGATAATCTATTTCATGTACAGCTGAACTTTTCTGAGTATTTAGCAATGAAAAGAAACATCTTTCAGGGATCTTTTGCCTAGTAGATTCAACATGCGAAGAGAGACATCTTCGTCATTCATTAATATATTTTATTATTAATGCTTATTTTTTCCTTGAATTATTGCGTTGTCTGCTAATTTCAGGTTACTGCTATTTTTGAAGAATTGGTTCCTAATCGAGTTTTAAGAAATGACATATCTTGGTCAACATTTGCTTTTTAAAAATATTTTGGGACATTTTGTGAGACAAACACCATTATTGAGTCCGCCTTTGGAGATAAGGAAGTCGTTAATTTCGAGGTGTCTAGTTACTGAGACAAACTTGCAAAAAGCCCCCGAATCCCAATTCACAAATTGGTTATTCGTTTGTCAGGGGATATTTCACGTCTAACACATAAGCCCACGACCTTTAATTAGAATTTTGCAGTTTGTTTTATCTCCCTGGAGGCTGACACCTAGCATTTTTCTTTCTTGATCGCTAATAAGCAACCTTCCATTCTTCCCTCCGGTAATCCGAGGAAAAGGATGCAAATACACTTAATTAGAGTTGTGGCAATAATTTGTAAGCTAAATATGCGATCAGGCAGATGTAGAAGTGATCTGATAAGAGCCAAGATCGCACTTGCTCTAAAGGTACGAGATACTGTCATTCTCGAAACGCGCCTCATTAATCTCTTTGCTTTCTCTCCCCCCCCAACACCCCTCCCCTCTTCCCTTTTTTGAACATTGGCTTGTACACAGGAAGGACGAAGCATGTCACGCTTGTCTTTGACCCGGTCTCCAGTGTCTCCTCTGGCCGCTCAGGGAATCCCGTTACCGGCTCAGCTGACGAAAGCGAACGCCCCGGTTCACATCGATGTTGGAGGACACATGTATACGAGCAGTCTGGCAACTCTCACCAAATACCCGGACTCTAGGTAAGACTCTGCTTCTCTCCTCTGATTCCCCTACCGCTCTGGTCTGCGGGAATGACGTATTTAAATGCATGGTCATCGTCAGCCTATCTATGGATCTGCTGTAGCTGGTATTATCCCTGTGACAGTTCATACAACGTTTCTTCTCGGGAACCTTAAGCTTCATTTATAGGCAGTTATCTTCACGCGAGTGCCTTTTGCTGGTGTTGCTCTTCTTTATTTTCAGTGTGCTGATAAAAGTACCCATATCAGCACATTACTAACTCAAAATAGCTGGGGTTGCATGAATCTGTTCTATAATAAAGTGGACTCATAGGCCTACCTTTATTGTCCGTAAAGGCGTCAACAATAATTTGCGTTTTCAAGTTAAGCGTCCGAGACAAGAAAGGTCCGACTTTCACTGTCGCAACTTGTCAAACGTATTAAGATCACCTTATAACGCGCCATCCCTTTATCCTTCAGCTTCAGCTTCCAAAATGATAGTTTACCCTCTTACTGTTAATCTACTTTAGTACACGTTCTGCTTATTTTCATCCACAATGTTTTGTGTAGAAGTACACTTTTTCACCACTTAAAATATAAAGTGAAAGAGCACAAGAAACAATCATCACCATTTGACGGAAAACGGGTGATTAAATCAGATGAGTGATTTACATACAGTATGTTGACGTTTGCCTGTGTTCTCTTCAGGAGTTCGGAGCGCTTGACTCACACTTGAACGAGATTCCTCAGTTATCACAAATTGAATAGGCGTAAGAAAGCAATACCGGGTGGCTAGCTAAAGAAAATGCATGGAGAAGTTTAAGAAAATGAGTCAATCAAATAGTTCTTTAAGGGTAACCATGTTTAAGATAACCGTGAATAGTATAATTAAAGAACAAGCAGCTCTATATGTCTTAAGCAATAATCGTATTTTCTATTCGTGTGAAGCCCTAAATACTGTAAATGTCATGGGATTTGTACGCGTCAGTTCCTAGAACTGAAGGAAGACCAAACTCTGCACTACTGTATTTTAGAAAGTTGTCGAGGTGATGTTCTTATTTTAGAACCTCATTACTAATAGTGTGTATCGCATATGGGCAGGAGCAAGCGAACCATTTAATCGAGCGTCTGCAATAATATTATCGACATAAACGTCTCCTGTAGAGCTATCTGTAAGTATTTTCCTTCTCTGACGTGAAGATTATTAAAATCATTTTTAAAGAATAGACACTGATTTGATATGTGTACTGTTTAACAGTGTATACAGTATATATCGATGAAATATATTGTATCTATTGAAGAATAGGCAACAACTCAACAATGTTTGACATACATCTGAAGGAGTAAGGGCATACTGTAATGTGTCTTTCACTCTTGTAGCCGAAATTGCCTCTTGTGTGGTTCACTGTAAACATTTTAAGTGGATGAAATGAAGATGAACAATGCTAAATACATCAACAGTAAAACCACAGTGAGGTTTTAAATTAAAGTTCTTTCTTTAAGTATTTTTGCCTTCTGTGGCTTACTTTGAAATGCAGATTCAGTTTCAAGAATTGCAGTCTCAGTGGACATTGAGCAGAAAATATTGTGTGCTGGTTGCCTTGTATTTCCGGCACACTATAGAATTGGATGCTCCACTATATTATATCTAAAGCAAATAAACTTCTTCCAAAAACAGCTGAAGGTCAAGGGAACGAGTGTGCTATTCAAGAATACAATGATCTATCAATCACAATGAAATTTAAAACAAATATCAATTTAGACTCACAGCATCTAGAAAGGTGGTGAAAATATATACATATTTTTATCATGCATTGAGTTTTAACTTTCTGTGCTTTATCAGGAGATGAGGAACAAGGACTTGCAGCCGTAAATTAACAGATTATAACCTGAAAGTATCTGAGGTTTCTCACTCGAGAGGCTTTAGTGACAGCCTGACTGCTAGAATACATGAAGTGTAGAAATATTTTAACAGAGCAGTTCTTTCAGTGCCAGCGTGTCGTGCATTGAAATTGGAAAAACACTCCAACGTTCATCACAGAGGAAACTATACTCCCGAGAACAGACAGGTTATAGTCAGGCCAGGTCAATCCTTTGACTTAGAATAGCCTTTGCCTTCAAAATCACAGCGTCAATGTGTTTTTTCTTGGAGTTTTTTTAATTTCCTTTAGTGAAAGTTATGTTTGCTGCTTTTACTTCATCAGATTCTGTATCCTGAACTTAAATGATAGAAAAAAATGAAAAAAATTGAGCCGGTTTTAGGCATATCAAGTGATTATTTTAATTAGACATGTTTTGTGCTGGGTTATATGCTAAAAAAACAGGAAATTATACTTATAATCTTATTGTGAAATAGGTGTGAATTGATAAGAGATCTTGATTTTTAGTTCAGTTCATTGTCCTGTCAAGACTCAGTCAGAATTCTGAGCTCAGTATGCAAAAGTTTAAAATGCAGTGATTTTTTTAACAGATTGCCCTTTTAATTATGCAGAAAGAGAAAAGAAACTTAGTCTAGTAAGTAATGTCTGGGAATTCATCTTCTTTCAGGCCGCCACATTAAGGACAAGATTCATGAAAGATGTATGAGCTGGTGTTCTGGAAGTCTATCACTGCTTAAGTTAGCTTAATTTTGACATTATGACTGAGAATTGGAGGTAGTGATGGACAATGTTCCCATTCGCGTCGAAGAGTGAAGATAAACCTTCTCAGACTATTTGATACCAACTGTACTGTACCTTGGTGTAACTTTACTTGTAGAATAGTTTGAATTAAAAACTGTCTAGGCTATACGTTTGACCTTTTCCTGCAAGTTGTACTGTGGTATAAGCATAGAAAATACTGTTTTTCCGTTTCTTCTGTCAGTTGAATTAGTGTCTCTGCACTCAGTTTGTGTTTTTCTTAGGACTGTTAAGAATGGGCTGTAGTGCTTCATGCTGGATATTTCCCTTCATCCTTACTGTGCAACAAAAGCATAATGAGTTATAGTGAATCAAATCGAACGTTTCAAAGTGACGCTACTGAAATCATACAGTAACTCTGAGCCACCTCCCCCTCTCTGGATACATACACAACTGTCTCCCCAGTCCACGCTTGGTTTAAACTCCGGTTCTAACCATCAGGTTTAAACTCTTCTGTTACAAATATGTACTGCTTCCAGCCTGGATTGGTTAAAATAGTTATCTGCTGTCACCTTATTCAGATGAGCTTCCCTGAAGCACCATTTTTTAAAACTTTCTACTTTTTTAAAAACTTTTACTGCACTTCTCACTGACTATACTGACCGTCTGTACCGTGTGTATTGTATTGTTGTATCATTGTATCATTTCGTTACACTGTGCTGTGTTGACTGTGCTGAGCTGCTGTTGCACTGCAGTTTACCTCACGGGATCAATAAAGTATCTATCTATCATTGGTAAGGTAGAGCAGTCCTTTCTCTGTCCTTCAGTCTGCTGTTTGAGTCCTGTCCACTCACCTCTAGACAGCACGCTGGGTGGCCTCTTTCCTTTACCTGTTTTGACATGACAGATGCAAAGCCCAGTGAGCCCTTTGACGGTATATTCTCGAGTAGTTATATTCTTGTTTCTAGCAAGTTAAAAAACGGTGGGGGGGAGGGGAGGTGGAGAAAAGAAAACAGAAGCAGCATTTTAATTGCTTTAAAAAGTTGAGATGAAAAACAGAGGAGGGCCCGGAGCGAGCTTGGTGAAAATTCTAGCTGGAAGAATTGCAAGACCATATGAGAAAAGATCACCTCGGGCAAACTGCGAGATGAGTATTGGTTTTTTATAAAGCATTTTGCATCGATTTCCAGAAAAGGAGAGAGAGTGAGTGTCTCGCACATGGCCCTTACTCAGGGCAAAAACTGCACAGCTTTGTAAGAACGCAAGTTTGGGGTGCAGACCAGATCGGACTTCAAGTTGGGTGCCCTCCGCCAGCAGAGCTGTATACTCCAAAATGTGAGGTGTGATTAATACGGTGAATCCTCAGCTGTATTTCAAAAAGACAATTGCATGTATTCTAGATAAGACTTATTGCATTTGTTCTCAGGTACAGGACTCTCAGGTATATCTGTGGAGGATGAGCATGGACGTGGAGTTGAGGCTAGTCTTCTCTGTGGGTGACTCATTTGAAATTACTAAATGAGAGACTTAAGCACTATAAACCTTGTTTTATTTGTAGTTGTTATTCGATTAACGGGATAACCTGAGTTTGATTCTGTAATGCTTCAGAATGAAACAATAGATGTAGAGATGTAGTATAGAGATTTTCAGGACAACTCTGTGACTGTGGCAAAAGTTAAGATTGAAAATCAATGATAAACATGGCACACTTGAGCATTCTTAAATTATCCTAGTGATTTATTTGGTTGATACCTTTATTCAAAATGACATAGATTTGCAGTCGTTTACACATCTGGGAGTCTTACTTGAGCAGTTCAGGTGAAGGATTCTACAGCAGTGTCTTGCATGGGATTTGAACCCACAACCCCTTAATCCAGAACCACAACCACTGCTCCGAACTGCTGTGTTGTCTTCTGACTTCTTAAAATACCCTTCTACAAGAAGCAGAAGTAGCCAAATGTGTTTCAGATTTTGTGCAGGGTGGTAATACACATTCCATACGCAAGTCTATGAATGTATCGTTTCATTTTTTGTGTGGTTGTCCTGTCTTACTTGTCCTGACAATGGGTCATTAACAGTGGTAAGTAATTTTCGGGGCTCTGCAGATTGTATGCGTACCTTCCACAAAACATATTTTTGGAAGACGTGTGAGCGAGCCAGTACTGACACTGAACTGCTATTTAAAGAGCTGGTTACATCAACGTGATGATATCAGTGACCCCTTCCCATAGCAACAGCTGTTGTTAAAGAAGCTTATTTGGGAAGCTTGAAGGAATGAAACAGTGAGAAAACAGGAAAACAGCCAGAGAAAATATGATACGGTCTCGAAATTAAATCCAGGGATGTTATTTTTATTCATACAAACAGCAGCTTAACCTTTAAAACAACATCAGAGGAAAAGTGACAGGAAGAAAAAAGAGGAAAATTGTACTTTTTATGTTACTGTTCCATGCAATTTAGTAGCCACCGTTAACACCTCAGCAGGGGTGTGACTAATAGCTACCATTTCTTAAACAGGGTGGCAAAGCATTCCATGTGCTTTCTTCTGGGACTTCTGCGTGCTTGAATTAAATTAAGGAAGCTGCAATTTGTCCCTTTTTGGAGTTCTGGGTCTTAAGAAAATCAAAGTTACCAAATAGCAATAGTTCGTGAACTGGAGTAAGAAAATTAACAAAAACATAATTGCTACAATGAGCATTCATTGTGTTATTCTGATTGTGATTAGTTACTACTGTGCCAAGCCATTCTGAAGATCTGTTTTCACAATAACCTTATGTGGCCTCAGGCCTACTTGAGAAAAATATTTTATGTGGCAGTCCTAGATTGTTTCAATCTTACAGTAACAATAGGTTTCCATATTTATTTGATTCAACAGTTAGAAACGTATTGCTTTTGGGAGCATCTGATAAAATAGTCACAGTTCCATATTGATGCACTTTACAAGGTCAGAAAAAACTACCTGTGCCACTAGTGAACTCCCTAGTGCCTTGTGCAATAGATTTAATATAAAGGAAAGGTTATATGAGGGCTGACAATTCCAGAGTTTAACTTTTTTCACTGTTGAAATGTGTACTTCATCATAAAAATAGCCTTCTGCAATTATCCCCTTCATTATACCCATGAATACAAAGGCAGTACAGTTGAACATTCTGCTTCTGGAGACAAAAGGCAGTTAATTGCTGGTTTAGACTGTGAGCCCAACCTGAAATCATCCCTGACATTTCACACCTTCGTGCACATCAAACATATTTTACCCATGTTTAAAAATGAATTTAGCAGAAAAAGAGTGAATGAGTAAAAATAAGGCATTCCAAATATGCCAAGTAACTGGTAGGCATTGTTGCTGAAAGACAGTAAAGTGCACAACCTTATCTACAGGCATAAGGCACGAGGCGGAGAGAGGCTGAGAGATTTAACTTTGCTTCTATTTCCAGAGCTCTCCTGATTAGTCCTCATGGCAAACATCAGAGCTAATTGCTCTTTTATTTTTTTCTGCTCATTTTTAGTGGGTCAGCTGAGGACGTAGAGCAAAAAAGCCCACCTTATTACTCTGTACCTGTCAATAATTCATGCATTCTTCTTCTTTTGTAGATTCTGGTGGGTAAGCCATCATTAAAAAAGGCATTTTTCTCTTTTTTTGAGTTCCGCAAAAGGGATGCGGTCTGCTTATGAATGAAGGTGGATATCAGTAGCAATTTATGGGATCTGTTTTTTTATCTACTTGACTAAAGAATCATGATATTTATCTTTTGATTTTTTTGAGGGTTCAAGCAGTTGCTTCGCTCTTTTCAGAACGATGCTTTTATGGAAGTTGTATGTCTCAGCTATGCTGCATTCTAATTCATTCGTTACTGACTGTGCTGCATAATTCCATCACAGAATATTGAGCTAAAAAGCTTCTCAGTGCCCCCTCATTTAATTTTATTTGTTTCCGCATTTTTAGATGTCTTACTTTAAATGTTTTAATGCCAGGGGCATTCATCTAATCTACAGTTACTGAACTGCACCCCCAAGACCGTCACTGTTTATTGCTGCAAGTATTGCAAAACCATTTTTTTAAAAAAAATACCACTGTTATAAAGCTAGAGAAAAGATAGCAAAACCAAAGGCCTGGAATATGAGACATTCGTCTCCGTAGCTCCTTCTTTCAAGCAATATATTACCATATTCAAAAAGATTTCTGTTTCCAGCTTAATTCGAATGTGATTAATTAGGCGATAGTTACTGTAGTTAATAATCTGATTGGACCTGGACTGAGAAGGGTGATATTTAGCCATCTCTAATGGAAGAGAATGGGAGAGCTTCTAAGCAGAAGGTGGATAAGTCCCTTTACAGTGGGAAATTAGAATACAGGATTTTTCAGTTTTTAATTTTTTTCCCCCCCATTTCTTTCCAGAATAAGCCGCCTGTTCAATGGCACAGAGCCCATTGTCCTGGATAGTTTGAAACAGCACTACTTCATCGACCGAGATGGAGAGATATTCCGGTACATTCTTAGCTTCCTCAGGACATCCAAGCTGCTCCTCCCGGATGACTTCAAGGTAAGGAACAGGTGTGGAATTGTCTGTTAATAGACCGAGGCAGAGCACTTAACAATGTAGAGGACTGTGACTGTTGAGACAGAAGAATCAAGTCCTCTGTTTTCTGTGCCTTTCCCACTCTTTTCCCTTTGAAGAAACAGCTAACTCGGTCATTTTCTGGGTTAAAATAGCAGTTTCAGACTTTTAAGAAAAACTTTGAACATTTTTTTTGAAAGTTTAGAAACACCCTTTATTCTCAGCAAAGACCGAAGCACTGACCGTGGTCAGTCATATATATATATATTTTTTGGCACTTAATGTTTGTTCAAGTGCAAAACCAGATTGCTGTTAAGAGTGTTAAGAGGCGGTTAAAAATGGTTTTTTTGTGTGAGCCAGAATATTTTGGCATCTGTTTCCGTAAAACGTGGTGAAATTTACCCAGAAGCATCTAAGCACCGTGGGAAACAATTATGAAAAAAACAGAAATGCTGGCTGTCAGAGGTGCAGTATATGTCCTCTGCTGGCACCAGTCACATCCTGGAGATGATTATTAAAAATTTCCTACTGCTGAGCAAGTCCAGTCTGATTCAAGCTACCTCTGGACCTTGCAGTACTCATGCTGCTTAGATTTAATCACATTTCATGCAGCCCATTCTAGAGATAGCACACTAACAGTGTAAAGATGTAAAATAAGTGCCGATCCCATATTGGGTGCATTTACAGAATACAACATGTATGCTGATGGGTGGTACAGATTTAATCTTGTTCCACCAGAGATTAAATGCTCCCTGGTGTAGCTAGGGGTATCAAGGTGGGGCAATGAATAGTGTGGTTGCCTGTGCCCCTGAGTTCAGTTCCTGGACCTGGGGTGCTGTCTGTGTGGAGTTTGTATGTTCTCTCCGTGTTTGTCTGGCTTTCCTCCTGGAGCTCCTCCGGTTTCCTTCCACTGTCCAGAGACATACTGGTAGGCGAATTGGCCCTGGTGTGCGTATGTACACCTGTGTTGGTGAGCCCTATGACAGACTGGTGTCCTGTCCGGGGTGTATCCTGCCTCGTGTCCACTGCATGCCGGGACAGATTCTGGCTCCCCCATGACTCTGAATTGAATGAAGCAGTTAGAAAATGGATGGATAGTGTTATTTGATTAAAAGCTAAAGGGATACAGAAGCTCCGTTTCTTTCAGTAAAACTAGAAAAGGTTGGTCCTGAAGGATGGTTTGGTCTTCTGCTTCATTTCTCCCTACTATGTCCAATATGAGTGTCCCTGTTCAGGCTCTGTGAGAAGAAATGGTGTTTTTCATGCTGTGTTACCTTTAGTCCAGTGTGTATATATGAGAAGAAGCCCCGGAGTTCCCTCACACATGAGTGCCCCAGACCTATTTGTGGCAGTCCCTTGGCTGTGCCAAGAGTAAAGCTTCATTGCAAGAGCGTTTTGGGTTCGTCTTTGAATTTCAGTCATTTTAAGAGTTTATGAGTGAGTCTAACCAGGCTCATCTGATTCAGACTTGAAACGGGGACTCTTAGGTCTTGCATTGTTCCTTAAACAAGAGGGGAACAGGAAGAAAGAAGTCACCCTCCTTTAAGCAGTTTTTCAAGCAGAAGAGGGTCTATCCATTTGTGTGTGTAACTATCTGCCTATTGCAGCACAGTGGCATTTTTTGTTTGTCCATAGTTGACTAAAAGCTCACTTCCAAAACAGCAATAAAAAAACATGCTAAGCGAATAACTCAACACCTTTTTTATATTTTTATGTTAAACTAGCTAAATTTGATAGACTGAAAATGTCATAAACAGCAGTGCGATGCATTAACCAACAGACTAATTGTCAGATTTATAGTTTAGGAGTAAATTAACAGTAGAATTTTGACATAGCCCTGTGTTTAAGGCTATGCTTCCTTTTTAAAGGTTAAACGTATAAATCAGGTTTCTCATCATGTGATATCACTGATCGATGATCTGTGTTGGACAAGTTCCTTTAAACTTCAACTTCAACACATGACCTCAACTGCTTTCAAGCACAGCAGTCACTTGAACAATGAGAACACTGAAGGAATAAATTGTGAGAGTTTCTCACAGGGCTGAAGACGTACAAATAAATATACCATTTGTGTTGCAAAGGCCTACCGAGGAAATAAAGGAAGAGGAGGAGGCCCAGAGCTCTAGTCGTACACTAGGAGTGATTGGTGAAGCTCTCAGGTGAGATGCTTAACTAAGCTGTAGCTCTGTCTGTCTTTCTCTCTTTTTTCCTCACTCGATTTAAGAAAAGACAAGCAAGTGCCAGGCAAAACTGGATAAGAGGCCGCAAGTGTAACTGATTGGCAGGGGCAATGCCAGGGCACAGAGGGGACTCAGATCAGAAGTCACAATCTCAGCTGAATGCATTGCTGCCCTCTCCCAGTCTTCTTTAGCTGTACGCTAGTTCCTGTTCCAAGGCTCGGTGCACACATGATTTTCTTCTGCGCTAAACTGTACAATCTACTGGGCAGCGCTCTTCTGAAAAGCAGCACGGAAACAAGCAACAGAACTGCTCAAACTGACACGGCTGCGGATTCTCAGAGCCCATCTCAGCTGTCTCCCTGCAGCCCTGAGACTAAGGTTACTAGAAACCATGTGGCACCACATTGAAAGCTCAAAAGGTACGACTACGCGGGGATGTATGAGAGCCAAACGTCAGAGTAGAGTCTCACAGAGCTCTCTTCACTTATTCAGATGTTACCAAACAACTACCGCAGTAAATGCACTGATCTAGACTGTTTCATCTCCATGAGTTGTTCCAAATTCACTTACCTTTCAATGTGCGCGTCTTGAAAAAATGCAAATACTGTCAGACCGGATTGAGCATCTCCTTATCTCTAGAAAATCATGTCTCCCTTTGCTGAGGGGCTTGTTTCTGTACTGCTGGCAGCCATTGGCATTGTGTGTTTTTCTAAATCAATGTGAAAGTCAGGATGGAATTTAAAAATCTCGACAACGAGCAGCAAAAACTTCCTTCTCCTAATGTTAGAGGCATGTGTGCAGTATTTTTAGAGCATCAGCCCAGTGAGGCTGTTTTTTGTGCTTCATTTCGTTTTACAATTGTGCACATTTGGCCATGTTGTAATCACTTCCTTATTTAATATACAGTAAAAATGCTACACAAAACCCAGGAATTTTTTTATTTGACCAGTACAGGAAGCAGGGGTCGGAGGTCAGTTACCATGTACTGCGATAAGCTATGAAGTCTTATGTCTTTACTCTCATACAATGGTAAACAGGGGAGGCCAGTGTACTTGCAGAACAGGTACATCTAACAGACCCAGTAGTATTTATGTGAGCCCCTTGCCAAAGTCGTACCCTGTTGTTTGTTCCTAAACTGCATTATCAAATAAGACTTACAACATGAAAAAAGTTTCTTTTACATGTTTCAGTTTCTCTCTAGTACTGAATTGCCAAACAAAAAGGTTACAACGGGAGATTTTTAAGGTGTTTTTTTTTCAGATTTTAATCCTCATTTTCAGATGCTGCAGGTTTTCTGCAGGCAAAGTTTAAATTTGGGTCTGGAAATGCATGTCGGCTGCGAGGCAAATGGAGAGGAATCCTTATTCTGTGGAGCCTCTGACAAATAGAAGATGACTTGATTGATTTTTGCTTTTGTGTGCGTGTGTCCATTTTTTCGAGGGCCTATATTATCCCAGTTTGCTCAAAGAACTGGCTGCTATCTGAGAGAATTTGCCTGGCAGTGAGCGATCAGGATGGGATCATTATTTTGTAGCACAACAGGCCTGTCTGGCCACTGGTTTGGTGAATTCTGTCTCAGAGCTACAAGTCAGCAGGGTAGCCAGCAAAACTGAGCTGTTGGGTCTTTTTTTTCCATCCCCACTTCAGTGGTTAGGATTTCGCTGTTGTTTTCTGCACTACTCAGGATGACTAAACTGCCTCGCAGACAGACCCCCGTTAAAAACATATCCATCCCTCGCCTCAGACCTGTGAATGATGAGGAGCTACACTTTGATACCGCAAGGACCCTGAAGGGCAACATCGCTGTATGCGTTTTGTCAGCAGCAGTAAGGGAGGGAGAAGAAAAAAAAGAAACCCTTCACATGCAGTAATTTTAAATATTAGAACATCTGCTTGAGATGTACGGTGTCACTGCTCTCTAATGCTGCAGCTGGAGCAGAGTCATGGGGAGAAGGGGGATTTTATAGATACGAAGGAGGCCATTACCATGCAACTGTGGCAGCATGAATTAATAAGCTCTCATAATTGCGCTGGCAGGAGGGAGAAGGTATTGGGCTTGAGCAGCCTGCACGGGCGAACTGTAGCTCTAGCCCCTGCTCTCAGATCAGCTACCACTGTACCCAGGCCAGCCTTCAGCTTCCAGGTCAGGGAGAAGAGGGAGCAGGACAAGCGCCGGTACCTTTATCAGGTGTGCCTGGACAGGCCTCTGATCTGTTTTGGCCCATCCAGGTTGAAACACATTCCACACATTCCATGTGGATAATATGTGGGCTGTTTGATGTGAAAAAAACTCTGAAATCCAAACTGATCCCAAATATTTGAGATATAACCAGGAGCCACCGATGGGTCAATTCACTTTCCGTTGGCCCTGTGCTTGATAAACAGGAAACTTTTTCATGCTTTTTCTGAATGAGAATCCAGACTGCGCTGCGTGCAGTCTGCCTGCTGTGGGTCAGGAAGAGTCATGGCGAGCCTCACCATATGTGTGGATGGTTTGCTGTGCTTTAGTGAGGCTTTTAATGGTAGTATCCCGCAATGGTGCCATCTGGTCTGGTGGGAAATTGAAAGATGGCGGGTTGGGATATTACCTCCCGCAAACATGACTGGGGGAGAACGCAGTCAATCTGTCTGGTCTTTCACCATCTCCCTCAAAGACATGCAGCAGTTTAGCCAAATGGCTCAGTCCAGACCTGTTTGAGTGCTGTGGTGGAACGAGCCATACTGATTCTTTCAATCTACAGCTGCGGCTGTCCCAGCCGACCACAAGCGTTTATATATCCGTAAACTGACTTGTGTGCAGGGCAATGAATGCTTATCATTTACACTTTATTTATATTACTTTGACTTGCTGGTCTTCCCAAGTAAACATGGCCCAAGGTCTTTAATCAGTGGTACAAGGCAAAATGAATACCATACTGCAGGAATAGAAGCTCACGGCTGGAGTCTAATTCAAAGTGTGCTTGCACAGGTCATGTTTCTGATGGCATGAGTCCAGCAGGGAAATGTAGGCCAGGTATAAGAAGAATTAACAGAGACATTTAAAAACAAATAGGAAAAGAAAAGGACATAAAACAAGTCATAACATATTGTATGATTTAAAGCGCTCACTTGTGAGCATTCTAAAATCAATCCAAGGACGGGGCTCATTTAAATTGTTTTCTGAAATAATAGTAAGTTTGCTTGCTGAACAGGCACTTTCAAAAGGGAAAATTTTCTGTGCGGCTGTGAGAAAAACAGGGAGGTTTTAGATTTGGTAGGAACTGCTCCCAAGAAACTTTGCAGAGTATAACCCAGTAAGCATGGAGGGGCTACTGATATTTAGTATGAGCGTGTATGAGTATGAGTTCACAGAATCTTCATCGCCGAATTACTGAATGACTGAACGTGACATATTTTCCTTTTTCATGTGAAACGCGTAGTGAATTTTCACAAAACTGCCGATGTTTTTGGCAAGTGTAGAAAAAAGAAAGACGTCTTTGCCGATGTCAAGTGCCAGTTTATTCTCCTTACCAAACTTCCCCCTGGCCTTTACCAGTCATGGCCTCCTAATAATCCCCGTCTCTGAACTGGCTTCATCACTCTGTTCTGGTCCCCACTGAGAGCTGGTCTGTGGGGAGTGGACTGGCGCACTCTGGCCGCTGTTGCATCTTCCAGGTCGCGGCTGTGGAGGGGTTCCCCATTACCCGTGAGGCGCTTTGAGGGGCGTGTCCAGAAAAGTGCTGTATTAGAATAAGCGATTATTATCAAGTGTTGCTGGTAACGAACGCCGAACGTGAAACCAGTCTGGCAGCTGGGCAGCAGATACCCGCCTCTCCTAACCTGCCCTCGTGGTGTCTCCATGGCGACAGGACTTCAGCCTGCTCTACGAGGAGGCCCGCTACTACCAGCTGACGCCCATGATCAAGGAGCTGGAGAGGTGGAAGCAGGAGACGGAGCACCGCAAGCTCGCGCAGCCCTGCGACTGCCTGGTGGTGCGGGTGACGCCCGACCTGGGCGAGAGGATCGCGCTCAGCGGCGAGAAGGTGCTGATCGAGGAGGTCTTCCCCGAGACCGGGGACGTCATGTGCAACTCCGTCAACGCCGGCTGGAACCAGGACCCCACCCACGTCATCCGGTTTCCCCTCAACGGCTACTGCAGGCTGAACTCTGTGCAGGTAACCGGCTTATTTCTACGAGGCGGGGATGGCTTCCGACTTCCACGCGGTGTTCGGGGGACTCCTAATCCTGGGATAGCCATATCTTTCGGGGTTTTCTGGACTGGTTTTGCCTGGGCCTTTCCCGCTTGTATGTTTCCAGCCGGGGAACGGGTGGAGATTTCGAGTGACCTGTTAAAGCTCGAAGTGCCAACCAGCCTTTCAGGAGCACAGTGAAATAGGCCACGCGGTTATTATAATGGAGGGCTAACCTTCCCATTATGAAAACAAGAGAGCAAGTTTGACCTGAAACTAAGAGGCTCCGGCATTAGGAAGCCCCTGCTGCTTTGCCAGTTGACTCCCTTATGATTCTGTACGGCGGTCCTGTCAATACTTACAGGGGGCACTGTGAGAAGTGTAGGATCGGGAACATTTCCAGGTAAGACGACAGACAGAGGCCGCCATTTTCTCTGGTTTATTCTGTATACAGGCAGTGAGTGCAAAGAGAAATTGTAACATCACATTTACAACTTTTATATGGCGGCCTTTTGAGAGTGTGTTGGTCCTGGATTGTCCTTCTTTAACGTTATCCATCCTCCTGTCCTGAAGAGCTTTTATCATTGCAGATATTTATTGTTCAATGTGGTGTCTAGATCTATACAAAGCAGGACTTAATCCAAACTGCTCTCTTATAAGAACAACGGTACCAACAAGTGCTTTTTATGTCTGTTTGTATAGTCTTTTGTGTTATTTTCATGTGAATACAACCACGGATCAAAGTTCTATACTTGTGGTTTGTCCTTGAGAATATAATTGATTAATTCCCAGAATCTCAATTCGTTATGCTCTAAGACAAAGGAGGAAACTTGGGTGTTGAAATGTCATTCTAGCTCGATTTAATTTTAGTTCACTAGCTTTGAAATAACTTTTGGTTATTTTGGTGCTGCGTTTGGCAGTGTTTATACAAGACAGCCTGTGGTTCAGCTTTTTTTCTTTATGTATTTATCACTATTTCACTAACTGGGCCTGAAGTAATCAGGTTTTAAAGCTCTTGAGTTTTTTTTTAGTTAAATGTTGAGGAAAATGTTTTTAAAGGAGTGATTAAAAAAAAACCAAAAACATTCTTAATCCTCTATGTAAGCATCCCAAACTATTGAAACAGTGCTACTTCTGAAGAATTCCTTGACAGAATTAAATAATATTAAAAGCAGGTGCAGAGATTTTTTCAGTTGCTTTCACCAGAAAGAGAACTTGAATGGATTGTAGGGTAAAAGGAGAAAGGTGTCTGTTTCACCAAAGAACACTATAAGTATCTATTCAACTCCACAAATCACATTTCCCATTGATCAGAGATTCAGTAGTAAGTATTAGCACCCTTTAACTTAAAATAGATCACCCATCTTAAATGGCACATACGAGGAAGAGTAAGTGTAGGGGGGGGAGAGGATTGCAGATACCAGCCGTGATCTGGAGGAGTTGGAATTATTTGGCCTGGGCTGTATCCCATTAAAAGGGACTCCAGTGAGGAGCTGGGCGCCTGCAGGCTTGAGAAACGCATTGCTCGTCCAGTCAGCGCTAACTCTCCTGTAAGGAGCCAGGGAAGGATCAGCGTATCAGCTGGCCGACGGCTCTGACAGGATCAATGGTGAAGCACCACCCGTGCGTCTCCAATCCTTTCCAAACAGGACGTCGTTGCGAGAGAGCCGAGTTTTAAAAAACAAATCCCACACCTAGAAGAGATATAATAAAATAATTGTCGTTTCCAGATTATTAAAAAAAAAAAAGATGAGATGCGATTGCCAGATAAAAATAGTTTTGACACTTTCACTCTTCCCTTGCTGTCGTTGAGGTGTCGATACCTTCTAACTGTGTAATATCCAAACACGTACGTCGCAGCGCACCTCAAAACCAGTGAGGCAAACGAGTTTCATTTGGTTTGGAAACAGGTAGTTTGTTGTTTTGTTGTGTGTGTGTGTTTTTTTTGTTTTAATTTGGGTGGCTTTTTCACCTCCCCAAGCTGAGAAGGTGAGAGAGACAGGCGCACGGGGCTGGCAGGTAGCCTGCTGTTGCCGTGTCTGGGAAGGAGGTGTGTTGACACTGGGGGGGAGGAGGGGGGAGAGGTGTGGAGATCGGGCCGCCCCGCCCGAGACACATCTGCCCGGAACTGTCAGGTCTGCTGGCACCCGAGAAGCCGCAGCCGCCTGCGCAGGGGGCGCGACTAGTTGGGGGGATCGGGGGGTAATAGAAAAGCGAACAGCAAAAAAGAAAAAGAGTCTTGGTCGCGTTGTGTGGAAAATAAAAAGGAGAAAGGAAAAAAAATGACATGCATAATTTATACTTTACTTCTTTTTAAGACATAGCTCCACTTTTTAAAAAGACTCCAATCTAAGAGCTGCCTCGAGCAGTTTAAATACATGTATTGCATTTTTTAATACCGTACTTAGAATTTCTCAAACAACCTAAACTGGTTTATACTTCTTTTTATAGATTTTTAAATGGCTTGCAATATAATTAATTGGCGGCATCAACTAACACAACATTTTTCACAGTTGGGGTCTGTTTTCAATTCTACCTGGTTAATGTAGGCAGTCCTCAGCTCAGCTCGGATTTCGCTGTGCTTAAATAATCTTCACATGAAGTGGGATCCGATTCATTTCTGTCGTATTTTCGCCTTCACATCTTACAGAGGGCCTATGATATTGAAAGACAGGTTAAGTAAATGCTTTCATTCCCTTACTGACACTCCCAATTTTTCTGGCATACGGGGCTTCAAAAAGTCTTTTGTGAGAGGCTTTGTCTATTGCTAAAATGAAGAGCGATTTTTAAGAGCATTACTCTTTCTAAGGAAAAAAAGATTGCAGGGCAAGATCAATGATTTCAAGGAGGGAGGAAGAAAGGAAGAAAATTTGTGGTTTTTTTGTGACTGATTTTTTTGAACAAATGACTCCACCCCAGAGCTTGTCTTGGCCTATTGTTACATGAAACTACAAAAAAAAACGAATACTAATCTTAACAACAGGATCAGGTGGCAGTGATTTGGTTGCATTTCTGGAAGAATGCCCAGTAAATAACAGAGCCCCACCCTGGTGAGCCTTGGTTTCCTGAGACAGACTCTGAGAGGGCCTGTTTAAGTGCGATCGGGGGATATTTAAATGCTGTGCACTGTGGGAAGAGAATCTGGAGGAATACGGGAAGTCTCTTCTGTGAGAACTTTCATCTCAAAGTGGTGACGTCACACTCATTTCAAAGGGACCTTCTTACACAGGAGTGCGTTAAGGACTGCGAACTGTACACACCACATTTAAAGATATATCACATGAACCTAAGTCAGCAGTTAAACGCTGTTTTAACTTAGAAAGCCTTTTAAATTAAAGGCGTTTTCATTCCAGGAAGAGAAAACTTAGGAAAAACATAATGGAATAATGGAAGGTTATGAGAAAGACAGCACACATCCTACCAGTCACCTGCTGTGCGGACTACTGGTATAAATACAAGATCTGAGGTTTCCACTCCCCGCCAGGTCCCACCAGCCACATGCTCATAACCTTTCCCTCCGTTGGAATGGGAAAGCCAGGCCGAGCAGGTGAGGGCCCGAACAGTCCATGGACTTCCTTAGATCTTCCTTTCATTTCTGCTGATTTATTTCTGCTTTATCTCTATGATAAAAACAGTAAGAAAGATCTCTTCCTAAACGAATTTATATAGCAAGGATCTGGAAAAAAACATTCAGGATGATTAAATGATTTTGCTTACCCATTCCATTCCCCCTAAAAATGCCTCTACCACAGGACCTTAATCTGGCCCTGCTGGGTCGGCACAAGCAAAACATTTCCTGAAATACTGGCCCAGGTAGAAAAGAAAACGTCACAGGTGAGTGTGAGCAATCCCAAAGCCGGAGAAGCACGGCTGCTCCCTCCATAGATCATTTTGATCGAGCGCTTGGATCACCGAGCATGTTGCTTTTCCTCCGCCACAGTGACAGAGGCACAGCTCCCAGACGTACAGTGTGTTCACGCTGTGTTTTTCGAAAGAAACAAGGTATTTCGGCCTGAGTCTAATATGTCACAGAAGTAGAGCGATCAATTCTCTGTGGGTGACTATCATGTGCCACGGAGCTGCTCTCCTGAACAGCTGGGGAGAGCAGACAGACCAGGCTGCAGAATACCGTCCACCCCTCTGGGTTTCCCCACAGGCGCTCAAAAACACAAAATGCACAATAACATTAAATTAAACTAACAACTCGAGATTAGATTACTGCAGTGTGAAGTTCGTTTTAAATTCCAGAATATTTGTGATGCTTTTTTCCCTGTAGAAACAAAGCCTGTGAAATCGCTCTCTGAGCATCTTCAATTTTTACAGACCATGTCCAAGAGGACGATAAAAATTATCAAGATGCAGCCTTTGCTTTGAGAGAGTTTACAAAGTATAATGTCTGCATTTAGAAGAAGCTAGAGGAATATCGGAGATACCAAATTGTGGAAATTCTTTAACTGCATTTATTTGTAGAATTACAGATAGGCTTTGTTATTCTATTAAGAAAAAGATGATTACAGGGAAAATGGAGTAATTTACTAATATGTTACAGTCATTGTGGATCATGGGACTGACCCTCCAGAGTGTTTCCGATAGTCTGCCCAGTATGTTTATGGCATTACCTATTCATATAAATGGTCAATTATCACAAGAATGTTTAATCCACACTTTCATGTACTATTCTTGAGAATTTCTGCACTTGTATCAAATAAATGTGATGCCACAGGGATACAATCCGCAAATCATAGGAACTTTTAAGTACAGAATTGAATAAATTTGTGTTTTTTTTAGCACCACAGAAAACCCAGCTCAAAGCTATAACACAAAAATAAAATAGGAGAAACTACAATGGGAGCCTTCAGTCATGTTTTGCAATTTATATTTGAACAAAGTTGGCCTCCCACAGCAAGTCTCAGAACAGCAGCTCTGACATCTGTCACGCAGTCCTGTGCTGAAGCTGTCTTCCCAGGATCGGGCTCCTCTCCTGTGCTGTGATGTGCACTACAAAATGAACTATCTGGAGAGCGGTACAAATTACACTGGTGGCTATCAATATTACATCACTTCTGTGTTTTCAGCCATAAGGTTGATCTGCTGTGATTTCTTTTTGTTTTTTTTTGTTTCTTTTGGTTTTGATGGATGAGATGTGGTTCGGGAGGAAGCGAAGTCCTCTATTTATCCCCAGAGCAATTCCAATACTAGTAGCAGTATTGTGATCTCCATCACACTGATTTGTCAGTGCGCTTCAAAGGTATTCTGAAAGAAGGAGCAGTTTAGAGGAAGAGAAGGCGACTCGGTTAACATGGCTGCTCGTCTGAGGCGGCATTTTTAACGTTAAAGAAACTTTCAGTTGTGCTGTGGTGAACTTGTTGGGGCCAAGAGAGAAGACGCATCTCTCAGGCTTCACCTAGTTCCTCGCAGCCTGATTCACAATTTCAAACACTGCACCAGAAGAAGAGAAACAAATCTTCCTTCAGTTCTAAAATAAGTAGGGTGTTTATATAAATAACTGTGGTAAATATTCCACAGTTATCCCCCAAGTTTCTATCTGAGATTAGGTGGACAAAAGCTGTCTTGTAAAAATAAAAATATATGCATTGCCGATATTTTGGAGTAAAGGGTCTGCTGAAATGGTTTACCAGCCTGATAAACGAACAGATCCTCAACCCTAAGAACCCAATTACCCAGCCATTTCAAAATGCAGTGAATTTCTCTGATTTAACATATGCCAGTTTTGTTTTCAAAACACAAATAATATCAATAATTATTTAACTGTGTAGAAATAAGTATATGGATTACCGTGATTTCAATCGCTGTCTCATCGGTCAAGGCCATATCTGTCAATATTCAATATTCAATTAACACCTACGGCCATCGATTGAAAATGACAGTATTGAAAGAGCTGAAATATACTCGACTTCCTTTTTTAAGACAAACAAACTGAGACAAATTATGTCTCCCCGTTTCTGGGGGATGTGTGGATATTAGCTTTTTTGAGTGAAACTCAAATCACAGTAAGATCTTGTAGATATATATTCTTCTTCAGCCAGGAAGTTGTACAAAAAAAAAAGATTTTCTGGCAAAGTTAGATGTGTTTCAATTGACTGCAAAAACACAATGTGATGCAATAATCAAAGCAAATAGCGTAATACAATTTACATAATCGTTATTCTTTTCCATCTCCTGTCTGAAAGCTTGAGTGTTTGATGCGAATGCAGGTTTCTTAATTAGAGAGTGCCTTTAGTTCAATATAAGCCTTCTGTTGGCACTTTTCCCCTCAAATGAACATTAAAGTCATTGTCATGGTGTTTATTGGGTGATGGAAGCGGTCGTTCCTCAGCTGAAACCTTAAGCCATCTTTTAGTTCATCTCTGAAGGGGAAGACGCATTAAAGCAAAACATCTTCAAGTTCATGATCGGCAATTATTTCAGTGTGATGAAAAGCAGCTGAAAGTTTAGCCCCATTTAGCATGCACTGTATCTGTTTGTGTGCCTTTTAAAATTCCTTAACAAGCAGGCTGCTAGTCCCTTCCGGTGAGTTGCACAACAAGATGCAACACTAAGGGATGAGGACTAATTGTCACTTAGCCCAAGAAACAAAAGGCAGCCTTAATGATAAGTAAAGCCACCATTCATTTTTTTTGTTGCCTGTCTCGAGCTTCGTCTTACATTGTAGCTCTAGGAAAGACCTTTAATTTTTAGGCTGGATACACTTAAAAAGAGAACAGAGAATAAGCAAATGCAATTCCAGGGAAATTTAAAGGGATGTACTTACAACAGAGACAAAACAGCACCATTTTTTAAAATGGTATCTTTTTCTATAGTTCTTAAAATATACTTAGGGAAAAAACGGTATTGTTTCACAAGTGAAAGTCGGGATGCTGTTGTTATCCAGCGGTTGTCTATGAAAGCTGTGTCCTCAAGCCCCGCAAAGCAAGGCCCTCTTGCCAGTGAATCCCTATTGCAATTCCTGCCTGAGAGAAATTCAGGATCTTTTCCCATCACTCAGTACTTGCGCCTTGATCAGGCCAAGCCAACCTAGAAAACTGGAGCATGTCATCCAACTGATCCATGTCACCCAGATTCATAAGGACATAAGAGTCTGTATGTTCTCCTCCTGTTCACATGGGCTTCCTCTGGGTGCTCCAGTTTCCTCCACCAGTCCAAACACACACTGGTAGGTTAATTGGCTTCTGGGAAAACTGGCCCGGTGTGAGTGAGCGCCTGTTTGTGTCTGTATGTGTCCTCTGATGGACTGGTGTCCCACCCTGGGTGTATCCCACCTTGCACCCATAGTTTGCTGGGATAGTTTCTGGCTCCCACTTGACCCTGTACTGGATAGAGTGGTTAGGAGATGGATGGATGGAAAAGATGGATGTCACAGACAAGTACTGTAGGTCAAACGGCCCATCTACCCCGTTTCATATTGGGAAGCTAATTGATCCAAGGATCTCATCCCAGCCAGAAACTCGCATCACATTCACTCTGGTGAAAATTTAAACACAGGTCATTTATGGACAGATCCGCAACGTGCAGCAATATGAGTGCGCCTGGGGAAATTCTAGAGACGCAGAACAGTTCACTTGAGATTTTCCCATAGAAAAAGCAACTTTCTACTACTGGTGCATTACGGTCCTGGATGAGGGCTGCACTCACGCGTTTTCATGCTGACCGCTGTGCTTGTCGTCTCCCCCAGGTGCTGGAACGCCTCTTCCAGAAGGGCTTCAGTGTGGCCGCGTCCTGTGGCGGAGGGGTGGACTCCTCGCAGTTCAGCGAGTACGTGCTGTGTCGCGAAGACAGGAGGTGTCAGCCCACCACAACACCCATTAGAATAAAGCAGGAGCCCCTTGACTAGGCAGAGCCAGGAGCAGGAGCTGCTGGCTGCTCGAGGTGGAGACTGAGAACACACGAAGAACGAAAAGGAAACCCCACCCACCACGAATTTAAAACCAAACGGCAACCAAAGTATTACCAGACCTGGATTTCCAGTTGCCCGCTCTTGCGCACTGTTCTTCACTGAGCTTGCTCAGCACGACGCGACTCGTTAAGGGAATGTAATTTCAAATCTCTGGGGAGACACAAGGAAAGGACTGAGATTCCGTCCAGAAGAAGTTTAACAAGGGACTGTGAAAAAAGAAAAGAAAAGAAAAAGACAACTCTCCTGAATCATTTCAACTTCGTAACGAAGCCCTTGCTCCTTTTTTTTCACCACCCCCAACTCGGCATTCGACACACAGGCCTGCGCCTGAGGACGGCGCTGGCTTGGCGAAAGAATGGAAGCTCTTCCCTCACTTCAGCACGTCCTCGGCGCCTCTCCTCTCTGTGTCTGCTCCTTCTGCTGTATCCACTGACCCGAAGCACGACGATGGCTCCAGGAACCAGAGAGGACCGGGCTGTTTGAGCAAGTCAGCACCTGCTTTTCTTGCTGAGTCCCTCACTGGTTCCTCTCTGACCAGATGAAGCGTTGCCAACTGGAAAAGCTGATGCCCTCAGACTAGGGTTCGAGTATTCAGAGGAGAGACACATCCAGGCCCTGCTCAGTTGAACACTGTGAAATGTAAATGAATGGGCTTTCGATCAAATTATCCAGCATGCACTGCTCTGTTTTTTTCGGTTCCCAAAGCTAAATTCATTGGCTTGTTTCAAGTGTTTATATCGCCATATGTTTTAGTCTTTTGCTCTCTTATTACTATTATGATTTACTGGTTTATTATTATTTTCCATATGAAGGATTTCTAAAAGTTGTTTTCAAAAGTCATTTAGTTTAAGAGCAGAAGTAGGAGCTGCTTGGCACTGGCTGTAGAAATACTATTATGTCTTTAGGCTACATGGCTAAAGCGATCTAGCTGGTAATGCATTCAGAGCTGAAGAAGGCCTCATTGTTATAATAGGGCTTCGGGGGAACCTGGATATTTTGTAAAAGCTTTTCCTATGATATTTTTAAACCATTGGCCTCCAAAATATCTTCTACCAGACATAAAAAATATAGGATATTTACTTTACAGGATTTTCTTCACAATTATCTCTTAAACATTCTTCTATTACTGATTCAATCTGCATATGTGCTCAGACCAGGCGAAATATGATAATGATTTAACTTTCAAACAGATTTAATAAACTGTATCATTTTAAGGTTTACTTAAAATAGACCTCAAAAAACCTTTAACTTAAATGGATTTTTTAAAAAAGAAGAAATCGTGTTAAATTATTTTAGTATTGATGTTCAATGTTGTGGTTGTAAAAATCTGCACAGTTCTTGCATCAAAAACTGCCTTGCTTGGCCTTGGACATCAAGGGCCCTGAAAGGTCACAAGACGATGTTAACCGACAGGAGATTTCAGAAACTGCAGCACAGGAAGTCACCCTGATTTTGCTGACAACCCGATTCCTGCTTTGCCCTCAGTTGTGTTCTTTTCTGATGAAATTGTCTTTCACAGAACCAAGAGCTCTTGGAGAACTAAGTGACTAGCTCATTGTGGCATAACCAGCACCATTTATTTTATGTCGTCGAGCCATAACCTGAAGCTGCGCGCAGGAACTACCTGAAGCGGTGGCAAAGTCTGGAACGGAGCTTCAGATTTCACTCTGCTGCGTCACGGCTTGTGCGATCGAGGTCAATCCGCCGTCAGAGGGTGTGGGCCGCCGTTACCTGGCAACCAGAGCTCCTCCAACTCTCACAGTTCTCGCCCTTTCCCTTACTGTACCTGTCACACAGCCCTCTTACTCCAGAGGATGGAAAAGTCAGCAAGTAGCTAAAACAAGCAAAAAAGTAAAATTGTTCCAATATCCCTCCTTAAGGTTATTTGCCTTTCACTCGCATGGTAGGACCATGCACACTTCGCTACAGAATAGACAATTGTAAGAGCCGCTGGCCATTTTCCACATTGTGGTCCGCAAAGAGCAGGCAGGAGGTCTAGCGCTGACAGAAGGAGCGATGCAGCTCGTGCCTATAACTCGGCAGGAAGCTCACAGGGCTCTCAAAAGTCACAGGGGTTGCCGTTCCAGAACAAAGTGATTGTACCCAGGCCGACTGAAGCCCATCTACCCTCAGCACCATTCTGCCACTGATGCCTGATCTGCCTTGGGAATCCCTTTCGGTCATCTCTGGTCCCACTCCAGGCTCAAACAGGTGATGATCACTGCATAAGGCTCCACCTGCTCACTAAAGAGAGCCTGTGCTGATTGAGCTACCAAACTAGAATAACATAGATTGTTAATGGAAACTTAAGTAACCATATAATGTAAAGCTCTATGGAAATGCTGGAGATTTTTAAAGAGCAGGCTATCTAAACGTGCACTGTCACTTCTGAGGTGAGCAGAATCTTTTCACTTGAGCTGCTCATAGCTGATAATACCTGCTTGAGCTCTGCCAACTCTCTTAGTAATGATTCAGTTTTCGTTTCCAGCTAGACTCCCAGAAACGTCATGTTGTTTCTCTGGGCAAAACAGTGGAATAGCTAAGTACGTAATTCATGTAAATTTATCAAAAAGCAGAGGAAAAAAATTAAGGGCATATCATAACTGCAAAAAAAACCATTCCAAAACTGAATTTTCTGTTCCTAGGAAACACTGCACTGATGTGCCAACACTGAGAGATTCTTTCTCAAAGAACAATTATCTTGAAGGTGGTGCTCATCGAGCTGGGAGACTGTTTTATGATCTTCCATGGTTAGTTTGGACTGATTTGAATCTGGAGCAGAAATCATAATGTTCTCCCATCAAAACGCATTCTGAAGGCCAGCAGAAAGATTTTTCTTTACACTACTTCCAAAAATTAATGTAGAAACAAAACAGGACTATATTCAGTCCTTGCTTGTTTGCTTCAAAATCCACTGTGGTATATAAACGATCAGTGTGAAACTCATTTAATGAGACCAAGGTCCAGATTAAACCAGAATGCTGTGCCATTCTTCAGTCTTCTCAGTCTAAATATATTACCCCGACATGAGATGAGTAAGCGCAAGAAACCTCTGATAAATTAAATCCATTATTGAATACTGGATTGTCGAAATCACACACTGCCGGGTCCGTTTTGAAAATGCTGGTTAACGGACTGCATCTCATTTTACTCTGGCAGTCTTACTGGAGTCCTGCAATTAGGTCTTCCTCATCAGCTTTCTGAGTGTCCCTCTTTAAAGGAAACAGCAGCTAAACACAGAATGAAAATCTCCCAACATGGTTCTCAAATACTAGGGCAGGCTGGGCAATGGATTAAGATCCAACGATGGCACACACTGGTTAGGGCATTCTGCTTCATGCACGAGGATCAAACAATTCCACTAGAAAGGCCGACAACATCCAGCTCTATCAGAGTGAGTGGGGAATGAATTCTTGGTTCTTCTCGACAGATAGATAAAAGAAGACCACAGCTATTTCTGAATACAGAAGAGAAATAGTTCAACCTAAAAAAAAAATTGAAATGCAAGAGGAACTTGTTGAAGAATTGGAGGGGGGACATACCATGTAAAGAAAATCAGAGGCAAATATGACTTTTAATTAGCTGGACTTTCTTTTGTTTTCTTGTTAGATCATTAATTACATAGCAACAAAAAGCCCTTAATAGCAGGGTCACTCTAGCTCCTAGTACAATCCTCAACTCACTGAGGAGCTGTGGTCAAGTTTCCTTTATCTTCTCACTCAGTTGTGGACACTGCAGGGCTGGGGCTCAGCAGCCAGTCAAATAAAGGGAATCTCCAAACACCCTTTTCATCTGCAGTTGGGGGATTTCAAGCCCACCCCACTACTTGCGTTACCTAGGGGCTTCTACTGCTGTGTCAGTGAGAACAAGGATAAGGGTCTTGTTTGCAGTGCTGCTGTGGCAGCTGAACTCTTCACAAGTTAAGGAGTGACAAGCCTACTTTTCTTCTTGCATGTTCTCCTTGGAGAACTAGGGAACCGCTAACACTGAAAAAAAAAATGAAGCCCATCATATTTATTATAATATTGTCTCATGTTTAAAGAAAAAGTTCTCTTGAACAGCAAGCAATATCCAAAATGAAAGAGTAGCAGATAGTGAGGGTCTTTCCTGAATTTCTGACCTGTATCTCTCACATTGCTTGTTCCTCCTTGATTCATACTGACCTGGCCGCAACAGTTTTTTCAACCCTAGGCAAAGGTCCCACGTTCCACAATACAGTAAGACAAAAAATAAATCTGTTCTTTCCAAACTTACAGACTTGTTGAATTTTGAAATTTTGGTGTGTAAAATATCTGTAGAGTTGTATATGATCCATTTTTGTAAAAAAAAAATACCACAAAAAATGAGAAAAAAGTGTTATGTACATGTCTACTTCAACATTTCCTGTACCCCTGGAGATCAGAGATTAAGCCACAGTCCCCAGGAAGTGTACAACTTCTCTGTATTCTATTTAGTCTAAAGACTAGTGACTTGTATAGCTATTTGTATATTAAACTGTAATGGGACTTTAGGTTTGAGTGTGCGCTTGGTATAAAATAAATGGAAAAACGAGAACCTCCAAGTCCTATTTAAAATTTCCTGAAAAAAATATTTGTCAGGAATTAAAAATTTGCAAGCAATATGTGTGTACATACTGGAGTTTTTTGTTGTTGTTTTTTTCCACAAAAACATTTCAAGGTACAGTTAGGTGCAAATGTATATTATTTAATGAAATGTTTTAATAATTAGACAATAGTAGTAAAGGGCATGTGTTCATTTGCAATGTCTTCAACATTTTATTTGCATTAATAAAAGAATGGTATGTTTATTTAATGTTTGTTCCAAGTCCCTTTAGGTGTTTCTAAGAGAATGACCATTCTGGGGGTCTGTGGAGCTAAGAAGTACAATAGTTACATACTTTTAAATTGTTTAGCTAAGGAAGTAGGAATATACTTTTCACTGGTGCCACAATCACTATGCCATTGAAAATTAAGAGTACCTTTCCAAAGACTTCTTGGTTTTGCAATTCCTAGCTTTAAAAAATCTACTGGTTTTAAAATATTTAGGCATCAGTCCTGTAGAGTTCTTAACTCTAGCCATTCGATATTTGCAACACAGACATTTTTCTGACTTCTTAGATTGCCTAACGTATGAGACCCATGGAGAAAGGATAAAATGGACTCAATGAAGGCTTAATTAAAAGCTTACATCTTCACTTTGAGCATGCATCATCATAAGCATTACTTAAAACTGAATTTATAAGAGATCTAGAAAACGTGCTGGATAACGAGCCACAAGAAACCAGATCCTGGGACCTCTTTTTGCTTTTGGGCTTTCCACAACGGACAGTCAATGTCAGTCTGCAAGCTTCACAAACACAACAAATTCCAAGTTTTTTAAAACACTAACTTCATACCGTGTGTGTTTTACAGGGTGACACGCATTTCCACTTTTACAGAGATGCTTTAGCGTATAAATTAATTGGTGCTTCACACTTCTAACAGATCAGTGTGGGCGTAATTGAGCACATCTCCACAGAAGGAAATTTCACCATCCTGAAGAGTGAAAACATCGATATACTGTTAATTTGCCTTCGGAATTCACAAGAATGCACAATTCCTCCTTTGCGCTAGCTGAAATGCAAAGTGGAGAAAAAAACTGGTCCTTCTACTTAGCAGCTAATTCTCTCAGCATGAGTGTATTTATTACTTGTTGTTAAGGTGTGAAGAGTGGATGTTGTGCATGTTCCTTAAATGCAGGCAACAAAAGTAACAAGAACTAAAAAAAAAGAACACTTTTGATTAAGTTTTCTTTCTTCACTATGCATAATAGAAACTGTCCTGCAGACATGCATGGGTATCTATATCCTACACCAGGGATCCCCAAGTCCAGCTCAGTTACACAACTGAATCCATAGCTGAGTTAATAATAGGGTGCATTTGAATTTCTTGGCTGATTTTTAGCTCTTCAACAATAAAGAGGTCGAGTTTTACCTATTGCATTTTATCAGTAACATAAAATTCCAAACTTTTGTGTGAAAAAAAACTTAAAAACTGTTCCAATCAAGCACCTTGCTAGTTCAATTAAAGCTTCACTTGGGTAATTAACCAGGGCTGGAATGAAAACCAGCAGGTGTTTGGGCCTCCAGGAGCCGAACCTCTGAAAGACTAAAGGAAGACGTAACTTAACCATGACATTTCAAGCTCTGACAACTTTAAAATGAATTTTCAGTCAAAAAATTGGGCAAGCTGCATCTAGCTTGCAGATGCAGTTTTAATGTACAGAATTAAAAAAAAAATCTTGATTCATTGGACTTAGTCTTGAATCCCAGTCTCTTATACTGAATTGCACATTTTGGTATTCTAATAATGTTACTGCTTAGTCAGCAGCAGACATCTAGGAGGGTTTACCTGGTTTAGCCCTCGATACTCCATTTAAATTCCTGCTTTGCATCTTGACAGAAGCGCTACCTGCAAGCCCAGAGGTGGATGCTGGAGGGTCAGTGTGCCTGCAGGTGTTCTAGGGCTCTTCTAAGCAGCAACACCTGAAGGGTTGGAAGAAGCTGTTAAATGGGTCCCATTAAGCCAATAACGAGCTGATCGTGCTTGTTAAGAGCTGGCTTGAAGTGATATATCCTGCAGAGAGACAGGCCCTCCAGGTACAGGACTGCCCAGTCCCGTTCCAGATCGATCAAGTCAGATCTCTAAAGCAAAGCAAGGCCGGGCCTGGGAGACCTCCAAGACAAACCCGGTTGCTGCTGTAAGTAGTGTGGAATTAACACTCCCCCCTCTGGCCCCGAATTCCTAACCAATTGTCCCAGTACGATGACAGGACGTGCTGTAGGAAATTTCATCCTTCAGATGACTATTAAACCAAGGTCCTGATTACTTGGTCAGAAAAAATCTCATGGTATATTTTCTCTTCTCTGCCTCATCTGCTGTGTAGTAGGACTGCTGGTGCATACTGCCTGGATACATGAAGCTCTGGGTTCCTTCAGTATGAAAAGCACTATATAAATATAATTAGAATTCTTAATGCTTGAGAATGAGTCACTTTCTTCATTGCAGTCCTGCAAAAGATTATCCCTTAGACCTCAAGAAACCAGCCAAAACATTTCATGATTCACAAAAGGCACCATATCCAGATTTTGGAACACAGCTTTTGGAACTACAATACAAATAAAACCATAAAAAATGCCTGTCACTTCATGAAATTTAAAGCTGCTGTCAATAAACGATTTGGAAAGAATGGTATTCTAACGTTGCACTACAATTTTCTTACCTTGGGTTATTATAGGTCACAAACAGACCAAATCTTTTTGGATATCCTATTTCTGCAAAGTTAAAACCACTTAAAAAATAAACACTATTAAGTGTAGAGACCTGCAGGTGAAAAGGTGACTAAATTAGTTCAGGGTGAAGTCTCCTTTTGTAATTATTCAACTCAATCTTTTTGAAGGCCAGATGTTATTATATTGATACATATTGTAATACATAATTATCTTCAATTCCTGTGATGTGTACTAGACAAGGAAGATTACTTTGCTGTGCAGTGTCCATAATTTATGTTTGATAATATTATTCTAGTTCAAAAGGAGACTCCAAGGATTTCAACAAATACCTATTTAGTTTAGTAAACAGCTTCTTTATTCCTTTACAAAATAGGTACAAATACAGAAGTATGCTTTTCACACAAACAGGAAAATTTCAGATTATGTACAGAGTTTACCAAAAATAACGTAGTTCTAATAAACACATGGTCTTTGTAAACAATATGTACAAATTATCCATACAATAAAACATGATCTTCCACCTGTGTATTTCAGTAACCTTCCTAATAATCTTTTGGCTAAAAAGCAAAAGGAGTAGAAATTTCCTTCTGCTTATTTATCAGAAACCATAAAAATAATTATTAAAATTATTGTTTTAAACCATCGGACAAATAGGTCTATTTGTGCTTTTTTTGCTATGATACTTCACCGAGATAAAATTGCATTGCCTCAAAAAGTGGCAACTGTAAATGTAAAAAATAAAAGAAAAATATAAATAATTATAAAACACATTTCCCTTTAACAGCTATAGACAATACTGCTTTATGCGCAAAACAAGACAAGAGATTCTCGATGTACATTAGTAACACAGCTTTCATTTTCCTTTTAATAATACACATTCAAAACTAAAATATGATGCCTTTTAAAACAAACCTTCAATGCACAGTTATTTCAAAGAGCCATCTGGAAATGCTGCCCATCCAAACTAATAACTTACAAAGCAACAGGATTCAGAGACACGGCAGCTGCATAGAAGCAAGAAACTCCAATTGCTAAAAAAGGCCATGAAAAAGAGGTCAGGTTCAAGGCAAAGCTCCCAGTAATGCATTTAAAATCACATGTGCCCACCCCTTCGCTACAGGTTAAAGGTCAGAGTCCTTCACAATCTAACTGGCTCATAGTGACAGATCCTGATCCCATCTTCCATAATAAAAGTCCTTGGCCATGCCAAGACTCCCCATGGACAGGAAGCTGGTTCATCACAGGTTAACCTCCCAGCAGTGCTGCTTGAGGGGACTGTGCATTTTGGACACGGGCTGAAAGTACTACTGCCCTCGCTGCGTCCTTCTGAAGTAAAACCTGGGTTCTAAATATTTCCCTATTCAGACTTTGGGATTTGACTTTATAACGTCTCACATCTTAAAATCAGAATGGAGAATAAAACCATGATTTTAGCAGATTGTTGCAAAACAATTGCATCCTTTTAACAATCCACACTCTTACAAATCTTCAAATGTAAGTGACAGGAGTCTGCTTTAAATGTGAAAAAATACATTCTCATGTCAGATCTCATGTAAGAGGTAATAGCCACAGAAATACGGAAAGGCACCCCCCTCCATCTCATATAATGTTATGGACTAATTCATCACATTGTCTGGATAGTCATTTTTGCAACTCCATAGAACAATGACAGAAATAATTGTTCACACCAGGTGTTTTCATTTGGGTAACTCACTGGAAACTTTGACACTTACCTGGAAAACGAATGTTCAATAAATGCAGAACAGATATTACTGTATTTATAATTTCATGAACTAATCCACTTTAAGAAATGACTAACATTGGTCAAGACAGGCAGTGACAACACCTAAGCCTGCTACTGCAGAACTAAAATTAAAACTGTTCTCCCTATTGAAGCCACATTTCTTAAATGTACATGCTCAGAGATTACTGAACAAGAAGAACAATACCATGTGCATCGGGATGAAGACCATCAGCAACCCTAAAGCAGTTAAGATTAAATAAAGCTACAAATTGTATATTTTCAGAGGTGATCTGAAACTGAAAAAAATGTTTAGTCTATTGGTTAGAAATAAGTACAAGTGTAATTACAGAAAATAGCTTACAAATTGATGTTGTACGCAGAGAAAGATTATAAGTAAAGAAATGTCATGTTTTCTTTCCTAGGGAAAATTTACCGACATGAATCAGTGTTAATGCACTGTGGGACATGCAGTTTAATTATCCATGATAACTCATATTTAAATATAGTGATTCAGACTGGATTTCAAAGGTTAAATAGCGAGTAGAAAATTCAAGATTAGGTTTGTGGTTAAAAAATGAAAACCTTAACATGCTTTCCTCTTGTCATACATGCTACACACAGATTAGATATGAGGCTTTACACATTATTGCACTTGGTGAGAAAATACACAAGACGCTGTTCACCGGCAGGATCTATTTGAAGCTCCAAAATAATTTACTATTAAAATACATCGGCAAAATCAAGGCGGGGGGGTGGGGTGGGCAATACTTTCAAAGACTAACTTCCTAAAATTAATTTAATTTTAATATTTAAAAAATGAAAGTTGCGCACGACAGTATTTTTATAACACTGCTGATTTCATGAGGATATCTTCCAAGAGAGTAAAATTCAGATACCGCGGTCGCTCATTCGAACCCTGTTTGGTGCCGGAATGTGTGAGACAGAGGCAGAACCTCACCAGGCAGACCCAGACTCAACCCCTTTCACATGGCCTTCTTTCTTGCTATTGCTGTCCTCTGATCAGAGCTACAAGATGTCTGGAGTGTTTACAGAATCAAAATCCTTCTTCCTCCTCCTCACACGCAGCGATGTAAGGTCACGACGGGACGCGGAGACATAGCAACAGAAACCCGGCTGAAGGCACATTGCAAGGAGAGACGAAGAGGGAGGTGTGGAGAGTGAGAGCATGGAGCGGGGAAGGAGCGGCGCTACTTGAGCAGGGCCCGGTACAGCAGGAGGGAGTGGGCGGTCTCTCGCTCCTGCTCCATGTAGAAGATGAAGTCCCTGAGGCTGACTCGAGTGATCCTCTGGCGGGGGTACTGGCGGGAGGAGGCTGCAGGGGTGGCGGAGCCTGCCGGAGAGCCGCTGGAGCTCCCCGAGACCTGAGGGGAAAAAAACAGCAGGAGAGATGAGGCTGGTGGCTCTTCAGAATGTCAGCTGGAAATCAGGATGGGGGGGGCAAGGGGCTGGGCGTGGGGGGGTCATCACCCTCCTTCTGTGGGACCCTCTGAACAGGGGGGGTGGACTTTTTTTTTGGTAGTCCCTCACCCTCAATCCAGGCATCACGGAAAATCAGCTTCAAGAAGGAGACGGACCTTTAAACAGTCAGACGCTGAATTCTTCACACATGTGGACACTGATTCTTTGAGCACTCGTGGAAAAATTCAACCAAATCTGCACACGAGAGCTGTTCGGTTTTTGATAACATGGATGCTATCAGCTGTACCAACATTACATGGTGAAGCAAAACCCAAGACTGTGTTTCTGTGTAAATATGTAGTCAATCTGAGCAGTTTCAAGCATTTTCAGACCTGTGTTTACTGTATATTCTGCAACCCAGAACACTGTTCATCAGTTCCACTAACACACACGTGCTGAAGCACTCAGACATTTACCCTGAAATCGGTCTATTCCTGCCTCAAAAGCTTCACTTTCAATACGCAAAAAATGTGGTGGTAGATTTTGTTAAAGCCATAACAGAAATCAGACAATACAATTCATGAACACAGATACAGTCTATGCAAGAATGCCACTAAATGGGTCTCGGCGCTCCAATTAAAGTCAAAATCACAGGGCGCCACCCACAATTACAGGAAGCCCTACACGTACTGTACACCAGAATAAGAAAAAAAGGGTTTTCATAAACAAGATGCTAGATGCTGATTTTAATCTGAACTGGCATTTCACTCTGATTTAGTGTATTCTTTTTGCTGAAGCCTAAAGTCTGAAGGAGGGGAGAAAAAAAAATAACCAGGCCCTCTTCGAAATTAGTGAATGCTTTACAGTACGTCTTTAAATGAAAAACACTGGTTAGCAAATCTCTGCAGTACCCACTTGAACCCAAACAGAAAGAAGTAAGCCAAGCACTGTAATTACAAACTCCTCACACCCCCCTTTTTCAATTGCACTGATTGCTCTTTGTAAACTTGCACAGCTATAGGCTGATGTTAATTAAAGACATCTGCAGGTATGGGGGGAGATGGGTACGTTTGCCATTTCTGAGACACTGGAATAAAAACATGCAGAGAGCAGCCACACCCTGGGCATCATGTTTTACGACTCTGAAAAGGGGAGATCATGCTATGTGGGCTGAATTTAAGAACAGCTTTTCCAAACAGATATTATTTCCATTAGCATGTTTAGAAACCTGAAGTGCCCTCCATACGAGACAGGACAGAAGGGAGTGCTGCTCTGAAGCTTGGCAAAGGCGCTGAAGAATGACCCTTCTTACATTGATCTTCACATTGGGAGGCTGCTACTCAGTTTGGCAGCGTTGTGAGCCTCCAGCTCCGTAAATACAGAGCTTCTGTAAATACAGGAATGCCCTCTGCTATATGCTACATTAATGCCAACAAAAAGATGCCAGGAACAAGGCTCTGAAACACTGGTCAAAACAATACAACAAACATCCTGCTGCTGACAGATGTCTTTCACCTGAGAGCTCAAGAGACAGGCCAGCCCTTCACAGGGGAATCTGTGCCTTATGTCAACTGTGCATAGATTATTGAACGGTTTTTGGAAAACCCTTTGTATGTGGTTCAAACATGGATAGAAAAGGAAAACGTTTTTACTTTTTTAACCAGTCTGCAGCATTTGCCAATAACCCAAACATCACCCTGTTGTTGTCTGTATCTATAGAAACCAATCATCTAGTTACAGATAGATGCAGAACAGAAAAAAGGACCTGGTGGAAAATCATAACTGTTACCCAGCTCCTGTGATGCTACTAGCTGTGTGTCTCCGGTAAATGAAAAACTTTCTGATATGGGCAATTAAATGTATAAAAGATTAACTAAGACATTTTAAATAAACTATCTTTTGAATGAACAATGAAGAAAAAAGCTACTTAAAGTTATTTGTGTAAGTTTAGGTTTTTGGGCATGTTGTTATCCAAGAATCAGCACACGTTTCTGCAACAAAAATAGGTGTACAGTCCTGTGCATGACCTCCTTTCAGCCTTTTACATCTACAACGAAACTTTTCCTATACAAAAAAAAGACTTAATTTACAATTTAAAAAAATCCTCTATGAGCTCCAAGGTCTAAAATAGCTTCAAAGCCTGCTCTCAGCAATCCAGTTCTGGCATGTGTCTTTACTACCACACCTTCAGATCAAAATGTGTTGATGGCCCTGGGCATAGCTACACACCTCGCCCTTCAGTGAAAAGACGGCAGGCATTACTTTCAGGTACTTACAGGCAGCTAGCGCACAGGTATGCTTTCCCAAGGCACAAAAGCACACAAAACGAGTTCTGTGATGTGTGAACACTGAACGCTGAACGCTGAACGCTGAGGAGCCACTACATGAACAGGGCGTATGTATGTGTGAGGGAGAAAGTTATCCACCCATCTGTGCAATTAAACACTAAGCACAGAGAATGGCAAGAGCTTTACCACACTGTCCTGGCCATCATGGTTAGTGCTGGATAATTACCCAGTTTAATTATCAAACTAATCGGGTGCACAAAATAAATAACTTATGATGTTGTGGTCAGATTGGGTCACATTCAACTGTTTATTGAAAGAAGCCAAAATACCGTCTCTAATCACATGGCTGACTAGTTTGTTCCACACTCCCACAACTCTTAGGGTAAAGAAGTGCCTGCTGTTCTCAGTTTTAAATTAACTTCCTTGATGTTTAGGATGACATTCTCTGGTCCTGTTTCCTTTTGACCTGAATTTAATAACAACTGGATAACATTCTATATTTTCCTGTGTTATGTTCTTGTCTCAAAAACCCGGTTTTGGGGTCAAACATTGCACATTCTGGCAAAGAGGTAAAGCAGCTTTACATTTTACACACACATTTACACACCCATAGAGAGGCTTGACGTATGGAAATGGACACATTTGCAAAGAGCTTCTGTTTATTCTGGAACCATCTGCTAAACTGCTAACAAAGGTACTGCGATCACTGTATGGAATTTGAAAGGAATAAAATAAAGTTAAAGTCCTCAAGATCATAACCCATTGCATACATGCAAACTGTACAGTACATAATGCAATCCCATGAAGAGGGTTTACCAGAACAGTCTGGCAGGGCGCAGTCAGTGGCAGAGATGTGTTGTTGAGGCTCCATTTGTCTTTGTCCTGCACCTGGGGCTCTGTGTTCTCTAAAGAGATTCCCCTTTTGGAACAGAAAACTGGAACAGGTGTGCCTCCTGAAGCACTTAAGGTATTGGGATGGGCTTAAAAGTCTCTTTTAGATGATCAACACTGGGCTCACACCGCCACGCGCCAAAGTATTTATGACCAAATGCTGCAAAAAGCCCACCTCAGAAAGGTAACAGACTGCTCATACTACAGCACTAAAGTTCCCCCCAAAACCTGGTGTTCTTTACACACCTGTATGTCTGCTTTACTTGCAAGCAGTCACTGCACACATACATACATACTGAGCTCATGTTCTCCTGATTCCTTTACTTATACTCTTATCTGATAAATGGGGCATCCAAAAGAAATCTGGTAAGAGAACAGAAAACTGTGGATGTCAAACCATCTCATTCAGTAACAGTGCTGCTGAAGTGGTGCTAACCACACCTAAGGGTGTGCCACCTAATAGTTACAGATTTGAAAGAATGAGATGTCATCGCACACCAGTCAAATTTCACCCACTGCAGCTGATCATCTGTTAAATAGCTCTGATGCAAGTTTAGGGGTCGTTCCAAAACTAATAATACCACACTTTCTTTTTAGCGGTGGGGTGACAGTGGAGCAGTGTTACTGGACCAATCTAGAAATCTAACATCTCAACAGTGAGGGTACCAAACTAGGATGTGGTCTAACTCAAGGCCAGGTGGAAAGGAAACAAACAAAATCTGTTGAGCAGATCTGTTTAGAAGAAAGAGAAAAGGCAAAGTGATATTTATATTCAGGGGGTTTTCTATGGCAAGTTTAGCACTTGACTCTTTCAAGTGCTGATGCTTCTGAACAGTAGAGGTCAGGAGCAGAAGTGAGTCTCAGTTTTAGTGCCCATTGCTGTAATTGCTTAAAGAGCTCTCTGATACAAGTAAGCCCATTAATACACAGCTAATCAGAGCCTTCTGCTCCTATGATACCATCACAATCTCTTTTCAAGTCTCTGGGCAGAGCTGTCTTTTTAATTGCAGTCAGAAAAATTCAACTGGAACCTGAGAGTCAGTTCAGGCGATGTCAAGGTTAGAGCTTTTCGCTGCCATTCGGGAGCCCTGGTCTGATTTAAACCATTAATGCAAACACAGCTCTGAAGTGCTGCATATCATCAAGAGAAGAAAAGGCAGATCTACAAACCAGGAATGATACCATGTTCTACAATACACTGAAATTAAACAAATTCTTCAGCCTAAGATTAAAGTGACAGAACTACTTAGCTTTATGTGTTTGGCAACAGACCTGTGTGAAAGATTATTCAAATCAGGTTTACTTCCACAGGTATTGAGTTATGAGATGATGTAAAGTTCTGTGTATAGTCTGGTTATTTCAATTCTGCAATCAAGTAAAAATATTTTAAATAGAACAGTTTTGTATGTGATTATTAAATACAACCTGTCAACCAATGTCGCACAAAGAATATCAGTTAACTCATCTCTTTCCTCTCTTCCTACTGTACAGAGGACCTTTTATCTCATACCAAAAAAGAGTAGCTTTTTAAATTTGAGGGTTAATCACTCCCATTCTATTCCCTCCTCCTAGAACAGAACAGCAGCGTCCGGACGATCAAGTGATTACTTCACGTAGCTCTACTTAACCAAACATTTAAAAGCACAAATCAGGCTCTCCCTGGACCATCATAAAGGTTATTCAAAGACATCTAATTTAAACTGAGCTGCCAAAGCTTGTTGGTTGGGTTTCACCGTAATCCCTCAAAACCAGGCAGCTTTCTATTTTCACACAAATGATCTGTA